CATCCCTGGTTATCCCTACTGCCTCTGATCTGGCAGACTCACTAAATAAAAATGCTTTGTTCGTAAATTATGTCTGAGTGTTGGAGTGTTCCCTTGGCTATCCGTCAATGAAAAGAACAAGAAAATGGTGCCGTCTGGTTTGCATAACATAAGGAATTTGAAATGGCTAAATACTTTTGATACATAAGTACATTTGAGCAATTCCATTTACTTTTGATACTTAAGTATATTTAAAACCAAATACTTTTAGACTTTTACTCAAGTAGTATTTTACTGGGTGACTTTCACTTTTACTTGAGTCATTTTCTATTAGGGTATCTTTACTTTTACTCAAGTATGACAATTAAGTACTTTTTCTACCACTGGTTACCGTACCAGCAAATCAATGAAAATGTTAAGACAGACTACGTACGACTTATAAAAGAGATTAATCAAGGTCCTGTCTACCTGGAACTTTGCCAGTTTCCTGAGACAAAAAAGGCGTTGCTGGCCCTTCTTACACAACATGTCAGTGTTACACTCGAAGTTCAATTTATTATCAATGATTAAGCCAAGATACTTGTAGTTGTTGTCTACAGTGTCCACCACCTGGCCTTTGATGATAGTGTTCTGAGGGGTAGTGGGTTGACGCCTGAAATCAATACACGTCTTTGGTTTTGTCTCATTCAGTAAAAATGCTCTGTCGCACCAATGTACAAAATCATCAACAAGAGGATGATGCAAAGATAGCACCAATGTTACTGAAGTGTTGAAACAACACTATATAACCCAAAGGAAGACTGCATGTTCAGCAGTCAGTGATACCGTAGACCCCCTTAGTTTGGTACAGGTCCAGCAGAGGGAACCTAATCCTAGTCACTGGGTGTAATAGTTGAGAGGTGGGGATGGTAACGCACACCCAACAAGACACCCAAGGAGTTGAGCCCTGCGATGAGACTGCATACTTTCTCCCTAAGAGGGACAGAGCGTATTGAAGGACGAGTGTTGATGACAGAAAGACATGAACGAAAACACAGACTGGGAGATACCAAAGAAGAGAAGCATGATTTGTTTTTATAAATATTGAATGGAGAGTGTTAAAGAGTGACCCAGCAACACAGGATCAATATTCTTTTGAATTACTTTAAAAAATGACATTGGCACATTACATTGTTGCAGAAGCTTCATGCAGAAGTATTGTCATACCCTGATCTGTTTAACCTGTCTTTGTGGTTGTCTCCACCCCCCTCCAGGTGTCGCCCATCTTCCCCATTATCTCCAGTGTATGCATACCTGTGTTCTCCGTTTGTCTGTTGCCAGTTCGTTTTGTTTCATCAAGCCTACCAGCGGTTTTCCCCTTGCTCCTGTCTTTGTCAAGTTCCTGTTTTCTAGTTTTCCCAGATTTGACCATTCTGCCTGCCCTGAGCCTGCCTGCTGTTCTGTACCTTTTGGACTCTGATCTGGATTACTGACCTCTGCCTGCCCTTGACCTGTTGTTTGCCTGCTCCCTGATTTTGTAATAAACTTTGTTACTTCAACACTGTCTGCATTTGGCTCTTCTCCTGAAATGTGATATAACGACCTGGCCATGACTGACCCAGTATACTCTGAACAGCTCCGCAACGCCATCTCCTGCCAAGGAGCCACCATTGGAAGGCACGAGGAGTTGCTTCGTGGTCTGATGGAAGGGTTCCAGACCTTGGCCGAACTTCATGACCTACATAAGGGACGCCGACGGCATTTGCTGTATGATCGAGCACAACATTTTAGCAAGCCAAGTTGCCTAATAAGTAAAGTGCTCGTCAACAACATATCAACAATGTGTTGACAATAACAGAAAACATAATCAATATCAACATCAACAACATATTACCATCGTCTTCCTCAACATCATCATCATCATCCCTAGCCTACCTCCTTCTCTTCCCTGTATTTGAAAGGGCAATGACCATAGGGGTGTAGGAGTGCTTGTACCTGTTAGTCTTAACAGTGGGGAATCTAAACCGGGAGCTAGAGGGTATGACCTGGTACTCATGGTGTAGAGGGTGGGCACAGTCAGACAGGATGGATTCTGCCATCCTCACCACTTAGTCTGTTGTTCAGATCAGACAGATCTGCTGGACTCCTGTGATCTTACTACCCACTTTCACTATTCTAGCTAATGCATTTTTTGCTTTGACACCAAGGTTTCCGTCAGTGGTGTAAAGTACTTAAGTCAAAATACTTTAAAGTTTTTTGGGGTATCTGTACTTTACTTTACTATTTATATTTTTCCAACTTTTACTTTTACTTCACTACATTCCTAAATAAAATAATTTACTTTTTACTCCATACATTTTCCCTGACACCCAAAAGTACTCATTACATTTTGACAGGAAAATGGTCCAATTCACACACTTATCAAGAGAACATCCCTGGTCATCCCTACTGCCTCTGATCTGGCAGACTCACTAAAAACAAATGCTTTGTTTGTAAATTATGTCTGAGTGTTGGAGTGTTCCCTTGGCTATCCGTCAATAAAAAGAAAAAGAAAATGGTGCCGTCTGGTTTGCATAATATAAGGAATTTGAAATGGCTAAATACTTTTACTTTTGATACTTAAGTACATTTGAGCAATTCCATATTTAAAACCAAATACTTTTAGACTTTTACTCAAGTAGTATTTTACTGGGTGACTTTCACTTTTACTTGAGTCATATTCTATTAGGGTATCTTTACTTTTACTCAAGTATGACAATTAAGTACTTTTTCCACCACTGGTTACCGTACCAGCAAATCAAAGAAAATGTTAAGACAGACTACGTACGACTTATAAAAGAGATTCATCAAGGTCCTGTCTACCTGGAACTTTGCCAGTTTCCTGAGACAGAAAAAAAAGGCCTTGCTGGCCCTTCTTACACAACATGTCAGTGTTACACTCGAAGTTCAATTTATTATCAATCATTAAGCCAAGATACTTGTAGTTGTTGTCTACAGTGTCCACCACCTGGCCTTTGATGATAGTGTTCTGAGGGGTAGGGGGTTGACGCCTGAAATCAACACACATCTTTGGTTTTTGTCTCATTCAGTAAAAATGCTCTGTCGCACCAATGTACAAAATCATCAACAAGAGGATGATGCAAAGATAGCACCAATGTTACTGAAGTGTTGAAACAACACTATATAACCCAAAGGAAGACTGCATGTTCAGCAGTCAGTGATACTTTCGTCAAGCCTACCAGCGGTTTTCCCCTTGCTCCTGTCTTTGTCAAGTTCCTGTTTTCTAGTTTTCCTGGATTTGACCATTCTGCCTGCCCTGACCCTGACCCTGAGCCTGCCTGCCGTTCTGTACCTTGTCACACCACCCTGGATTATTGACATCTGCCTGCCCTTGACCTGTCGTTCGTCTGCTCCCTGTTTTTGTAATAAACTTTTGTTACTTTGACACTGTCTGCATCTGGCTCTTCTCTTGAAACGTGATAAGAATAGCAAGCAAACTGTCAAATGCTACAGCATCGAGTAATGTGTTCCATTGTTCATTTATGAGTTATATCATGACTCTCGAGATTTTGTCATAAGCAATTCATTGACAACGACCATTAACCAATGAGCAACGTTTACCATACAAAAGTCCAATAACCCCTCACTTAACTGCACATTATACCTCAGCGCACTTCAGTCTGGCAACTCAAAATGCCACTCTATGGACAGCGGATAGACAACACTTAGTGGTTTGGCAGACGTGTGACTAAGCTATTGGAAGGTATTTCAAGACGAAATGTGAACCCGCAGCACCATGCTTCTCTCACTTGAAGCGTCTAAGGCGTTTGACATGGTAGACCATAAGATATTGATGTAGAGATTGTCAAACATAGGCCTTTCAAGTAAAGCTGTTGGTTGGTTTAAACTCTTAAGGATCGGACCCTATTTTTTCAATATTTGCCTAAAATGACATACCCAAATCTAACTGCATGTAGTTCTGGACCTGAAGGAAGGGTATGCATATTCTTGAATACATTTGAAAGGAAACACGTTGAAGTTTGTGGAAATGCATTGTGTGCAAGGAATATGCGACCAAATACCAAACATTTGACATTACATTACATTACATTTTAGTCATTTAGCAGACGCTCTTATCCAGAGCGACTTACAGGAGCAATTAGGGTTAAGTGCCTTGCTCAAGGGCACATTAACGTCATTTAGCAGACGCTCTTAGCCAGAGCGACTCACAAATTGGTGCGTTCACCCTATAGCCAGTGGGATAACCACTTTACAATTGGGGGGGGGGGTAGAAGGATTCCTTTATCCTATCCCAGGTATTCCTTAAAGAGGTGGGGTTTCAAATGTCTCCGGAAGGTGGTGAGTGACTCCGCTGTCCTGGCGTCGTGAGGGAGCTTGTTCCACCATTGGGGTGCCAGAGCAGCGAACAGTTTTGACTGGGCTGAGCGGGAACTATACTTCCGCAGAGGAAGGGGAGCCAGCAGGCCAGAGGTGGATGAGCGCAATGCCCTCGTTTGGGTGTAGGGACTGATCAGAGCCTGAAGGTACAGAGGTGCCGTTCCCCTCACTGCTCCATAGGCAAGCACCATGGTCTTGTAGCGGATGCGAGCTTCAACTGGAAGCCAGTGGAGTGTGCGGAGGAGGGGGGTGACGTGAGAGAACTTGGGAAGGTTGAACACCAGACGGGCTGCGGCATTCTGGATGAGTTGTAGGGGTTTAATGGCACAGGCAGGGAGGCCAGCCAACAGTGAGTTGCAGTAGTCCAGACGGGAGATGACAAGTGCCTGGATTAGGACCTGTGCCGCTTCCTGTGTAAGGCAGGGTCGTACTCTCCGAATGTTGTAGAGCATGAACCTGCAGGAGCGGGTCACCGCCTTGATGTTGGCGGAGAACGACAGGGTGTTGTCCAGGGTCATGCCTAGGCTCTTCGCACTCTGGGAGGAGGACACAGCGGAGTTTGACTACTTTAATACACTATAAGTGAAAATTGTCGACATACTTATGACATCTTCAAATGTGGGGACTTGTGAAAACATACAGATGACACCATCCATGGCACACTTCCCACACTAGATGAGGCATTTCTCAAATTGCAGGAAGCATTTGTTGTCCAACACAACCTCTTTTGGATCAAATTGGTCTTAAATGCAGAGAAAACTAAAGTAATGGAATTCTCAAGATTAAGAAAGCAACCCCCTACTCTGCATCAGATATTCACTTTGCTAAATAAGCCAATAGAGGTGGCGTCATCATACAAGTACTTGGGATTTCACCTTGATAAAGCTCTCTCTTTTAACCCCAACATTCAACAGCTCACTAAAAAGCTTAAAGGTGCAGTGCAGTCAACGTGATTGTCCTGTGTTTTATATACGTATATTTCCACACTATGAGGTTGGAATAATACTGTGAAATTGTGAACATTATGATAATGCACTTTTAGTGTAAGAGCTGTTTGAAAATACCACCTACAATTTCAGCTTGTTTGGCTTGGTGGGGTTTTTGGACTGCCTGTGTATAAGTTAATAGTCCAATAACAAAGAGAGTTTGCCCTCCTCTCTGCCAATAACAGCTCATTTTCAGGTTACACATCCCTCCCATTAGGCTCCTCCAAATAGGCCTCTCTATTAGACCACTCCCAGACAGTCATAGCAAAATTATTGCTTGAGAAATGGCGTTTTGCTAAGAAGCTATTTTTGTTTCTTTTTGACCATTTTAATTGAAAACAATCACTATAAGGTACTTCATTGTTACCGAGAAAATATTTGATATTCAGATGAAAACGGCTGCATTGGCCCTTTAAACTTAAATTGGGCTTTGTCTTTAGGAACAAGTCTTGTTTTTAATTTCAAGGTAGAAAATACCTTCTTGCAGCCACTTTTTTGCTTTTGTTGGTGACATTCTGTAAATGAATCCCCCAGGGTCATACCTTCAAACACTTTACCGTGCTGCTCTTAGATTTGTAACAAACACAATATCTCTTACACATCACTGTACCTTATATCAGTTAGCAGGATGGCCACCCCTAACTGTTAGCAACAGACTCACTGGTACATGTTTGTCTATAAGGCCATTTTAGGGCAGCTGCCAATATATTTAAGCACTTTATTCATCCTACCGAGCCATGGACAAAACTGTATTTTATATAATTTCCCAACACAACAACGAAGTCTGGTAAGAGCACTTTTAGCTTTGCTGCCCCATAATCTATGAACACTTTGTAGAAGGAGCTGAAACTAGATCATTTTATTTCGATTGATGATTTTAAATCCCAGATTGAAGGGATGATGACCACGAATTGCATTTTTAAAAACCTGCTCTTTAAGCCTTCTTATGCACTTTTATTCCCTTTGAGACAATCAACACACTTAACCTCTCCTGCTCAAGGATATTCAAACATCTTACTTGAAGCGGGAGAAGTCACATGGCAAACACACATCTGTGTTTGACATTTTACAGTACAGGGGACAGGGAAAAACAAACTAATCCCCCCCTTGCACAAAACACACACACACCATCTGTTTGCAGGAGTTTGCTGCTAAATTAATCACGTCAACTGTCTCCCGAACCCAGATTTATTTCTGTCACAATTAATGTACAGACCGATGCTGGTTTCATCCTTTTCAATGCGGCAAAGTGGTAAGAGAAGGGGATGGTACTGATCTCTCACATTTTCGCACATAATGTACACACGCGCACACAATTTTTAATGCTCGCACGCAGATGGAAACACACACATTCCGCGTCTCGTTCTCTCACACACCCACTCGTAGAAAATTCATAGCATTAATGGTTTTTCTTAAGAATTACAATAAAAAAAGGCCATGGGTACTTGTTTGATTTCTGACTGTTTGGTGAAAGAGAGGAATGAGAAGTAGAGAGGGCGCCTGCTGAGGGAGGGGCGAGGGGGAGGGTCATTTCTTGGCTTTCCTGGGGGGAGTGACGGGCCGTCCGGAGCCCATGCCCCCTCTGACCCTGCAGAGCAGCTTCTTGTCTGCAGGCTTGAGGATCTGGGGAGGATTGAGAAGAACAAACAAATAAGAGACTTGCGTAAAAAATGTTTTTACTGCCATTTACCTTGCTCTCGAAGGGGTTGAGTGCACCTAAACCATTTCAGGAAAATTCACCCCCTCCCCCTTAACAGAGGGGTTTCCATTATTTTGGCAGTTACCTGTATTCTTAGTGATAATAAAAGTGACTCCAAAAAATACACAATACATTATTCACCATTCACTTCCTATTGGACAAAGCATAATCCGAAACAAAACCAAAACAAGGTGTTAATGCATCCAACAAGTTTCTAGTCATAAGCTTGATGTAGTCATTGTGTGCAAGGAATATGCGACCAAATACCAAACAATTGACTACTTTAATACACTATAAGTGAAAATTGTCGAAATACTTATGACATCTTCAAATGTGGGGACAAGATAAATTAATTATATCTGTAATTTCACTAATATCTCGTCCACGCTCATCATGGCTCCGGCGTTGTCAAACTCGCCGCAGTAGTTCGGGGCCGAGAACAGCATCATCAGCTGCCTCTTCGCAAAAAACTTGTAGCCGTCCTCAACCACCTGAGGAACCAAGCAGGGTTGTGTTCAGTAGGCACGAAACGGAACAAAATGGAGCGAAATGAGGTGGTACGATCTGAATTTGACCAATAAAAAATGCTAATTTTTGTTTTCCATTGCAAGACATTTTGCTATGATGTGCCCTAATGAACCTGACCACGGTTTCGAACGGGTTGACAGTGGTATTAACACAATATCAGAATTTTCACTTCAATACCGACACCAGGTTTAGTATCACGATACTCGATACCATCACAATACTCAAACAATACCGCGAAAAATAAGAAGGCGTATTAGCCAAAGTCACAGAATGACACTTAATCCAGACAGATAAACTCACATACTGCTCTGTTCAATCGTTGGGCATCTTTCGAGTTCAATGTCATTCTTTTTTTTGAATCTTGAAACATATTAAAAATGGGATATTCTGGTAACTCCCAAAACTGCCTATATAATTCAACTGACAGGCCATCAGGGCCAGGTGATTTCCCTTTTTTCATTGAATTCAGAGCCTCTCTAATTTCTTCGATTGACACAGGTGAATCGCAAACTGAGTGGAAATCATCCTCAATTACAGGGACATCATTCTGAATGTGGCAAATGTAGCTTTCACAACCATCTTACTGAAATTGTGAGTTGTAAAGGTGTTCATAAAAGGAATTGACAAATGTTGATGTTGTAATGGGATCTTTGCATAATACATCATTCATTTTGAGTGCCGTTATAGATTTTCTTTTGCAGTTTCTCTTTTCAAGTGCAAAAAAATAAATGCTGTTTCTTTCCCCCTCTTCAATCCATTTTGCTCTTGATCTGACAAAGGCACCCGTTGCCAGATCCGTGTAAAGCAGTTCTAATTCTAGTTGGAAAGATTTCACTACTGACTCTTCTTCTTGAGATAGATGATCTTTCTTTAGGAAACTGTCATATTTGCTCATCAAATCTTTTTCTCTAAGGTTCTTTGGGTGCTTCAGCTGTTTGGCATGTTTAATGGCTACAACTCTGACTTTATATTTGAATAATTCCCATCTACTTTTCTTGCAAAAATATCTTTGGCTAACGATTTGATGTTTCCAATGAAAATAGGATCTTTAAGAAGTGTGTTGTTTAATTTCCAATATCCTCGAATACCTTTTTTACTTTTTAGTAGCTTGTAAATTCAGGGAAATAAAATGATGATCAGAAAAGTGAGCCAACTGATGATCTACATCTATTACAAATTGTAACAAAAAGGGGGAAATTAGGAATAAATCTATTCTAGATTTTCGTGACAGTTTTGTTGGTCCAGGCATAACTCTTTGCATCCGGATTGAAATAACGCCAGGCATCATCAACAGAGAGATCCTTGCATAATGTTGTGATGATATAGCTATTTTGAGAGCTTTGACTCATTCTAGGAGGAAAACGATCAACAGTCATCAGGTGTTTTGTTAAAATCCCCTGAGAGAATTAGAAATGCCTCTGAGTATTTGTTGCATAAATCCTGTACTTTTCTGGTAAATTGGGCAAAAAGGGTCTAATTTGGAGCATGTGAGTTATGTCCATACACATTACAAATGATGGAAATAGCATTGTCAAGTTTAACAGTTACTATGACCCATCTCCCATCCTGTGAAGATGTGGATTCGAGAATGTTGCCTTTAAACTTGTGGAGAAGCGTCAAAACACGAGCATAATGGTTTGATCCATGACTGAAATAGGCCATGTCTCCCCATTGTGACTTCCAAAATTTCAAGTCACTTTCACACAAACTAGTTTCCTGAAGAAGGACAAAATCTGTGTTACTGCGTTTACAATATAAAAATAAGGCTTTCCTTTTTCTAAGATCTCTCAAACCCCTAGCATTCAGGCTAACGATGTTGAGTGAGTAATAATGTGAACAATAAAACAAACAGTAAACATTGAGAGGGTTACTCCGACTGAAAACTATGCTCAGTTGAGGTAGCGGTGGTTAACAATATAACAAATCCCTTTTTTTGGGGGGGGTTGGCAAGTGTTCATAAATTGTAGTTCGAACGGTAATTGTACTCTTGGCAGTACTCACAGTTCAACCCAGCCTTCTTTCCCTCTTCTCGTGCCTTCTGTATAAGCGGCCACAGTTTCTCCCTGGCAGTCTTCTCGTCCAGAAACTTGGCAATTTTCCAGATGATGTCCCTGTAGTGGCACATAATGAAGTGCAGGATGACATTGCGAGGGGGTCCATAAAATCTTTGTTTCCCAAGTCAATGTACCACGTCGATCACGTCACTTAGCTTGTCTTTGATGCACGGAGCCTCCTTTCCCAGGATGTTGACGACTGCTTCCCTAATGTCCTCTCCCTCTACCTCTCTTACACCTTGGATTTTCAGATTCCACCTGCGAGAGTAACGTTGAAGTTCAGCTACATTCTCACACAGCTCATTATTTTGGGATTGCAGTTTCTTCAGCTCGTTATCTAGGAACGTTATCTTTTCCTTGTTCTCGCTCACAACTGTCTCTGACAAATTATCAATCGTTTCTTTGGTAGCCCGCTCTATGATGGACACTTTGGAGAATGTGGCGTCTTGTTTAGTAGTCAGGGTCTGGATTGCAGAGAAAAATTCAGACATAGAAATGTCCTCTTTCACTTTTTCTACGGTGGATTTTTTATTGGGGTCTGAGGTAAAGAGGTTGCAAGGATCTCGTCCTGGTCCGTCTTGTTCTTTCTCTTGCTTGAGCTCACGGCATCTTGTGTATCCATGCTGCTCTGGATCTCGCCGCAGCTAATTGGCATGCCTGCCGTCTTCTGTGAGGCTTGGATATTCCGTCTTCTGTTGTCTTTCTGTCGTGTTCTTCCCATTCAACTTGACAAAAGCAAACTCTAAACTTGCCATGTGTAGTTAAAACAAGTTATAGTTCGTTTCTTGCTACATTGATAGCCAATATTAGACTGTTAACCACCTAACCCTCAAAGTTGCTTGGACAAGCGAGAAAGCCCTCTCACACCGACGCCATCTTGGCTCCCCTTCTTTTATAAAAGTGTGTCTCTTTGAGACTCTGTAATGATGTCATCCAGAGTCAGTTCAGTGAGAGAGATGTGAGGAGGGAGAGACGATTAAGTGAATTAATAACGTTTTTGGTGATAATCAGCTTTGAAATCAGCATATTTTTGAATTATAGTTTGCACATGATCACAAACAATATGTTGAGAGAAATTACAGTCAGTAGTCTACAAGCAACAAAATAAACTCAATTGATTGAACATGAAATGTATTTCAATATTATAGAAATAGGCCTATAGCTTACTGTTTATTTTAATACAGTCATTTCGGTTTTCATTTTAAGCATATTTTTATACACTGCTTGTTTGTATTGCAAAGACATTGGCAACTTTGGTATTTGTAGTGAACTTTGTTCTGAAGTTATCACGGTCACAGAGAGACAGATAACCCATGTGATTCTATGTTTAAGGGAGATCTGTGTATAAAGTGAGACGGGAGGACA